ATGCTCAAGCCCGTCTCGACGCCGACTATGAAGGAGAGAAGCACATCCTGGCCGCTGAGCCCGTTTACTTCCGCATACGCCAAGATGGCAGCTAGGGGCGGACCAGAAGGATGCACCAGCGTGGACAGATGCGTGTCGTCGTAGAAGCGGGCCGTCATGCTCATACCATTCAGCAGTGCTGCATCGTCAAGAATTGCCCGCTCGTGCATACCTAGCACTGTTGCATGGCGTTGAGTTTTCGAGAGTGGATCTATCGCTTTGTAGAGTTTGGCGGCCGCGGGGAGCGACGACGGCGAGGACGACAGCCCGCAGCCAATGCTGTTGAGTATGCTTGCTTTGGCCATGTGGGTGAGGTCCGCAGGGAGGTCGGAAAGCGTGAGGTTGCTGAGGAAGGTACATAGTTCGAGGGTCAGATCGCGGGAGCTGTTGATGGAGAGGTCGAGCGACATCTTGTTTCCTGGCGAAGTGGACCGAGTCGACGAAGGTATGTGTACTGTACCACGGTCGTCGTCTGTTTGCGCCAGTTCACACTATATGCCCAATCCTGCTTTTCTCCTGAATGTTGCGTTGATTTACAAGAGGATACTTCGTATCTCGCGTCTGTATGGTCCACGAGCGCCACACAGAATCTCTACCGAGTGGTCGACCTCTTGTTGAGAAAAGGGTTCGAGGTTCTGTTACGCGGCAACTCGGCTGTTGTCCGATACCACATACAGAGTACGGAGATGGTACTTGTACGGCTTCCCCCAACGGGTCCTTCAATGCGGAGTATGTACACACTACTCTGTGCGAGTACATTCTCGTTGATGACCCGATCTCCACCTTCCCCGGACTGGAAGGCAGGGTGGCATGTCAGGGAATGTGTGGGGTAGATCGCATCGAGGCGTATTTGGAGCATCGCAGCATCGGCCTGTAAATCGCCCCGGCCTGTGTCTGATTCTGCAAACTCAGCAGCAATCTGTGAAGGCTACCTTGGAAGGAAGTATTTACAAGGGAGAAAATCGTCGGGATGGCGATATCGTCGGATGCAGAGGTTGTGGTCGTAGGAGCTGGCCCCGTTGGCCTTCTTACAACCCTCCTCCTAGCCAAAGCCGGCGTCAACGTCCTCCTCATTGAGGCCCTCCCAGACATCGATGACTCTCCCCGCGCAATGGCGTACGGAGCCCCAGCCGTGGTCGAACTTGAACGAGCTGGAATCGCCGCCGAAGCGCGTAAAGTGGGCATGGAACCGTCGGACTATGACTTTAGGCTCCGGTGGATCACCATCGACAACAAGACCATCGCCGAGTTCAAGCCCGAAGACAAGATCCCTGGGTCGTTTGACGCCGTGATTTGTGGTCAATTTCAGCTGGCGAAAATCATTCAGCGGCATCTCAGCGATTATAGTTGCGCAAAAGTGAGTTTCTGGCCTTGAGATTGTTGTACGAGTTTCCCAGCAATTAGTCGCCAACGATTCTGCCAGATCCTCTTTAATCACCGTTTGAACGACATCACGGAGAACGAGGACTCCATAACGGCCTCGGTCGACACACCGACGGGCAGCAAGAAGATCACAGCTAGGTACCTGGTTGGGGCGGACGGTGGCAAGTCAACCGTACGCAAGATCCTCGACTTAGGGTATGACGGCTTCACGCTGCCACAGTGGCTGGTCGCATGCAATGTCCGGTATCCGTTCCGCGAGCACGGATTCCAACGAGGACAATTCATCGTCCACCCCAAGCATTTCTGCATGGTGGGGAAGATCGATCCGACGGGCTTGTACCGCGTTTCGTATAATGAGCAGGAGGACCTTACCCGGGAAGAGGTCCTGGCCAACGTGCACAATAAGTTCGAGGCAATCTTCCCTGGTCCAAAACCGCTCTCCAAGGACGCATATAAACTCGAGGTGGTCAGCCCTTATCGCATTCACCAACGGAGCGCCAGATCGTATCGAAAAGGGCGAGCATTTCTTGCCGGAGATGCGGCGCACGCGTGTTCTCCGTTTGGCGGTGAGAAAGACCTCATTCGATGTAGTCTGTCAAGACTGGCAGTCGCTGACTATTGTGCTTTTTGCCAGGGATGGGCTTGACGGGCGGCATATGTGACGCAGGCGGGCTCGCCGACTGTCTGATCGGTGTGCTTCGCAAGGGCTGCGACGACTCCCTGCTAGACAAGTACGCCCACATCCGCAGACAGAAGTACCAGGAAATCACGAATCCCGTCAGCTATGGCAACACTTGTGCATTGAGAGACACAGACCCTGAGACAGCAGCCACGTCAGCCGAGCCGTTCAAGACCATGAATACTTCGCCAGAGGCTCGAAGGAAGATGTTGGAAAGTGCATATCTTCTCGGGTGCGTTCTAGAACCCTACCATGGGCTAGATTGAACTGAACTGACCGCGATCCAGGCATGACTTCAGGCAATACTGGCCAGCATCTCAGACCATAAGCAAGGATGAAAAGCATGCAGCTCCGCCCATCAAAGCCGGTACCGCTGGTCCGAATGCCATGTTATAGGCTCAGTTCGCAAGTACCGGACAAGTTCGATACAAGGTTAACTGGGACGTAGAATTCAATTGATGGCGCCCTCGAAGCCAACAGGGCTTGAATATGTGCTAGGATAAGCGTGTCAAGATGCAATTTTGCGAGGGACTTTCGAGCATTTGTGCCTTGCTGAAGCCTGATCTGGAGCATGAAACTGGGCCAAAAGAGAGAAATCGAATTGAAGTATGGTGTGGTACGAGGTACTTGAGAAACGAAAGCCAGAAGGCCAGAGAGGCGTGGAGATGGCAGGTGTAATGTTCCACCGTACACAACCACGGCGGATCATAATTCCGCTCTCAGTCTGAACGCGCCATTGACCTGCAGCCTCGTCTCGTCCTCCGCATGAATGAAGCCTCCTCACATCTTCACCTTGTGTACAAACCCTGTGCTGTTCCCCCAGGTCGCCTGTGCTCTTCCACCGTCTTTCTCTGTGTCCTCGCGGTCCAAGATATTTTAGGAGTCCCCTCCCGGTCAGGTTGATATACTGCGACGCCAACATGGCGGACAGGTATTCGTTCTCGCTCACAACTTTCTCGCCCAGGTAAGTCGACCTTCCTGTGTTTGCTACACTGCGCAAAGGTCGAAGAACTGACTCCTGCAGCGGCAAGCTTGTTCAAATAGGTAAACATTATTCTAACGGTCATCTCTTGCGCGGAGCTCATTGGATATCCAGAATATGCCCTCAACGCAGTCAACCAAGGTGTTACATCGTTAGGCATAAAAGGTACGATAACCCCAGCTGGACTTTGCTAGCTTCCTACTTACAGCCATGTCACAGCGACGAACGGGATTGTCCTTGCAACGGAGAAGAAATCCTCGTCCCCTTTGATCGACCCGCCTTCGCTCTCGAAAGTCTCGCTCATCACACCCAACATCGGCATGGTCTACAGCGGCATGGGCCCCGACTACAGAGTCCTGGTCGACAAGGCCCGCAAAGTCTCCCACACAAACTACAAGCGCATCTACAACGAGTACCCCCCCACGCGGATATTGGTCCAGGATGTGGCGAGAGTGATGCAGGAAGCGACACAGTCCGGCGGTGTGAGACCGTACGGTGTGAGTTTGCTGATTGCAGGATGGGACGACGGCATCGAGCCGGAGACCAGGGAAGCCAAAGAAGGCGAGACCGAAGCAGAGGCCAAGTTGGCGAGCAGGAAAACTGGCGGCATTCTAAAAGGTGGTCCCAGCTTATACCAGGTCGATCCCAGTGGAAGTTACTTCCCCTGGAAGGCTACGGCCATTGGCAAAAGTGCGACAAGCGCAAAGACATTCCTGGAGAAGCGATACAATGACTCGCTAGAGCTGGAGGTGAGGAGAAATCAGCAGCAAGCAGATTTAGACGACCAAAAGTTACTGACAGTCCACCGCAGGACGCTATCCATATTGCCTTGCTGACGCTCAAGGAGACGATCGAAGGAGAAATGAACGGCGACACCGTCGAGATTGGCATCGTCGGGGAACCTGCGAACCATCTGCTGGGCTACGAGGGTGTGGACGGAGCAGTCGGTCCGCGGTTCCGGAAGCTCACCAAAGACGAGATAGAGGACTACCTGACGAATCTGTAAGAATAGAGCCCTAGGTGGGAAGATGAGTCCCGGCCGGAACGTCTCGCTGTCGGAGGAATGCCCCTGCTTCTGTCGTAAGGGATCATTCTCTGGTGCAATCTGTTCACTCGAGCATGAGCTACTGCAAGGCTGATGAGACAGGCGTCATGCTTCGGTTCCCTTCACTACTACTACTGCTACGTGCACGGCAACGGCGCAAAGGTGAAGAAGCATCAAACAAAACAAGGTCCTCATCCATGCGGGATTTCTTGCCGCAAACTCTGGTTGTCCTCGTCTTACTGTCGCTTTCTGCATTTTCTTGCGTGGTTGATTCCTTTTCGTTCCTAAACTCTATACAATGAGGACCTTCCTAGAGACGAGCCATCCAGCACGAGCATATATAGCCGTGCCATCTCGCTGTGCGTCCGGATCCCTAACTCTCCTGGTGTCCGTTATTCGTCAGAACCCTATCCTATCTTACAAGCCTCTGCCTCACCGTCTTCAACATGGTCGCCATCAGATCCCTGCCCGACGAAAAGCCCGCCGTCATGAACAGGGACCCGACCCCATCATCATCATCATCATCTTCTTCTTCTTCTTCACCAGTTGACCACCACCGCCACCGCCTCCAACAACAGCAGGAGAGCACATGCCGTGATGCAGTGTTCATGCTTCATCACCACCAGATGAGATCACATTCCAAGACAAAGGCAACGACGCCGCCCTGCCAGTGTTCGCACTCGCCTCCCTCTACGAGACCTCCTCGCCATGTAAATAGCCGCGAGGTAACGGCCCCGTTAGCGTCGAGGCACTCCATACCTCAATCCGCGGAGCACCACCGGCCCCAGTACGGGCCATCGACGATGTACTGGGCGTATCCTCGTCCTCCGACACCAATGCCACCTCGATGTTGGGAGGACGGCTCGAGTGCAATGGGGGAGTCGGTTCCATTTGAGGCTGATGATGACGACGACGACGACGACGATGATGATGATGATGAGAATGACGACGGTCGAATAAGGGCATTCGACGACGAAGATGAGGATGAGGACGGCGATGAAGGTGATGGTGAAGGTGACGAACGCTGGGCCCTTCAGGGGGTTGGTAGTAGTGACGACGAATTCTCGCCTCCTGCTTCTCCTTCTTCGTCGTCGTCGTCTTCCTCCGCCTCATCAAGCGACAACGACGACGACAACGACAACGACCAAACCGAGCCGACGTGGGAGGACCTTCGCCAGGGATTTGATCGCATCCATAGTAAGATCGACGTGCTCCTGGCCGAAGTGCGCCGTCGGAACGCCGAGCATGACCTGTGGATGAAATGGTATACAGGGGAGGTGGAGCGGATCGAGGTCCACAGGGCGTTCCTCAGGGCCGAACGTGCACGGCGGGCACCTGTTCTGGCAAGAAGGGAGGGTCAGGCGGCCGTGTGGGTACCTGGTGTTCCGCTGGGTTCCATTCCTTGCACATGCATACTGTCGATAGACCGTCTGTCGAGATTCCATGCTGCAGATAGACTGTCTGTCTAGATGCCATGCTACTGCTGGGAGCTGCGGTACCATGATTCAAAACTTCATATGCTAACGGATCGAATCGAAACTTCATATGGTGGCGACTCGAATGTTGGGATACGAGACGCTCACTTGCTCTTTGCGTTTGCATAAAGGTCGGATGTTCCTGTACCTGCCCTCGCTGCTATGTGAACTGTACCAGACGAGCGAGGTGCTTTGGGAAAAAGACATTGCAACCTTATATGAGACCATGTGTACCTACCTCCCTCGATCGAGTTGTGTGGCATTCTGACACCAGATTTATACGCATACTGTGCCTGTGAGCCAGGTGGACAGAGGCGGAGGGAGTCCGGTTGAAAGAATCAACGAGTCCCATGCCTTTGAGCACGATCAGGCGACAGGCCTACCTGTCGCGTGGATAAGTGGTTGGATGGCGGATCAAAAGTGAAGTTTGGGGGTGCTTATACTGAAGCGTTGCTGTGCTGATAGCGATGCTCTGCTGTGCTGAGACTGATGCTGTGCTGATACTGATGCTGTGCTGATACTGATGCTGCAGACAACGTCCCTGCGAAGCAGAATCCACCCCGACATGGGTATTGTTGTCTTGAGGGCATTGCTCTGTCTTTCCCATCAATTATCAAGGAATACCCAGCACTCGCCTGATCCAAGCAAAGGGGGCACGAATCGGATGCTGCAATTCCCCAGGCCTCGCTGCCTGACTGGATAGGCATCAACTGGACGAAATCCAAAGATGCGGCACCACATCGCGTCTCGACCAGGTAGGTCCACGAGGTTGGATACAGTAGAGTAGCTCGAGCGCCAGCTGATCGACATACCTGAAGGGGTCGCGATACTGGTCTGGCGCTGTCGCACTTGCGTCGAGTTATTACGGACGATACAGTATGGAGTATCTGCCGTTCGTCCTTTCACCAATCAGATACATCGTGCTTTCAGAAAGATTACTCGACCAGGCTGAATTCCACGAAGATACCAACACTCGGACCTTCCCCACGCGGACGAGAACTTGTCTCCCGCACTGTGGGAGTTGTCCAAGATCGATTAATTAGGTAGTCTGGTATTCCCAAGCGTGTTAGAGTTGAGATGATTAACAAGATGTCGGGTCGGCTGTCCTTGCGGCTTCAGGGAGGGTGTAGACCTACATAGTATTGCCAAAGTCACTATAGGTCAACACTTGTCGTCCGCGGGCTCATATCATATGGCTGGCTAATTATACCTCTGTTTATCTCCGAGCGAGAGGGTTGTCAAGGGCAAGCACTCCGAACACAGAACCAGCAGGACACAGATGCAGATGCTGTACATTGCCGGTTGGTCCCAGGGCGTTTCTGTACTTTTGCCCGTCTCGGCCCTTTTCCACTAATCGAAACGAGGGGCCACCCGTACCTACTATGCTTTCATGTCTGTAGTTGTGAGATTCAGGCTTTGCACCAGACATCTAACGGAAGGGAGAAGACGCCGGTGTGTCAAATTGTCAGCTTCCAGCGACCGAACACACTGAGCAAAGCTGCGGATGGTTGTGTCAATGCTTCGGGACCTTCGATGGGTTGAAGGCGTTGAAGTCGGCGAACAGGACTGGGCCAGCAGTAACACACAACGACGAGATAGTCCCGCCATTGGCAGAATAGGCCATACAGACTCACGGCTCAGCGTGGCGGTCTGCATGTGCGTGTCAACTAGGAGAGTGATGATACATGGTGTGTAGGGTTGGATAAGTACACATTGACGTAAGGCGGACGGAACAGCCTCACAACCTCTATCGGATGATATGCTGAAGACGTGTCGTCTACCGAGTGCTGACGTGCAGTCCGAGTCTTGACGTAGAGAGTCCTCCTCGTACCCAAGTCGTCGGCCTGGGTGGCTTCACTTTTCGAGGCCTGCTGTAAACTTAGCCTTTTCACAGGCCCTGAGTCCCCCGTTCCCGGACGGTGGCCGATCGCTGCAGGCCATACGAATGTCGCCCGTGCTCAAAGCGTATTCAAGCCGGACGGGTTGATCGACCACACAGGCTCCACCAGAATAGAAGGGCATGTCCTTCAGGGATGTAAAGATAACCATGTATCCGTTCAATTGCCCGCCCAGATAGGACCTGTATGTGGAACAAAGCGAGAATCCCCGCGCCGTGGTATATGCTGTGGAAATCAGACGCCTCCATAATGCCTAGGACAAAAGTCACTCGCTCAAGTAGAAATAGAAACGCGTCGGGTCATTTGCTTCGTGACACCATATCCCGTACAGTGATACAAATCTCACTTTCGTATAGCAAACAGTAAATACTTCTCCCACCAGTCCCTCAGGAGAAGAACCGTGGCTCGTCCATCATCTCGTTTCTCCGTTCCATCTGGATTTCCCATGACGATGGCGAAGACCCAGAACACCGCCACAATCCATGCGGCGACTGCGTTGCCGATGCTGATAATAGGTGACACAGCGTGTACGAGGACGAGGCAAAATGGACTGAACTCAAAGGTGTGAGCATTGTCTAATGATTTGGCGTAAATCAGCTGAAGGTGATTTCGAAAAACTGGCGCCACGAGCCGGACAAGGGATATACTGGGAGAGCACTCCTGTCTGCATAGGCGCAGAGGCGCGAGGATGGTGATGAGGATTGCGGCGAATACGGAGTATAGGGCACTGAATAAACAGTGGAACGGGTCGAGAAAGGACATCCACAACTGAAAAAGGTCAATATGACGGTCATCCATACAGCACAGCACGATTGCTCTTACCAGAATCCACAGAGCATGATCGTCTTCTTGCTCTTCTTCTACCGCTAGCGACTTTTCTTGGATGTATTGAAAGATGGCCGAGTTGTCTTCGACCACCGGCGCTCCGCCATGGTGACTTTCATTTGCTCGATTTCCGGAATGCTGTGACCCCGCGCGAGACTGTCGGTGTGTCGACTCTTCTATAATGCCCCGCTCCACTTGAGGACCGTATTGGAAATGTTTATAGGTGGGATATTGCTTGTACTCGGCCCCGACAGTCGACCCGGACTCCCCACTTGATATCGAGGTTTGTAACCGGACGGGGTCTAAGCCGTGCGGTACGGAGGGACTTCGAAGGGTCGGAGAGACGCGGGCAATCGGGGGCTGCTGTAACGGACGAGGAGCTGACCGGTAATACGACGTCTGAGAAGAGGTGGAGGGGTTGGTGCCGTCGTAGTACGCAGGAGAGTGCCGGGTGAGGTGCGAGTCCGATTCGTAGGACATGCTGATGGTCAAGCAGGGCTCTCGGTGGGAAGGTCGTTGTCATCACCGAGCAGGCGGCAAGAGCTGTTGAGCTGATCGGCGACGGGGAGCAGGTGCAGGTTGACGGCTTCTAACACAGACAACATGGGGAACAGAGATGGAATGAAGTACCAACATGATTCTAGCGACGAGAAGGAACCCAAGAACTCAAGAGACACGAACGTCTTGGTCCTGATCATCCTGCTCGCTCAATCTGGCTGCAATCCTCCACTTCCGCTGCGTCGCGCCCCGGCCAAGATCTGGGCACTTGGCTCTTGTCTAGGCGACATCTTGGCCTTTGCGGCATGGGCTCGAAGAACGGCAGCTTGCGTTGCCCTGAGACGGAGACGACTTTCCGTGAGGCCTGGCGACGGTGTTGGCGCTCTGGCAGTGGCACGTAGTCGGTTTGCTACACCGTTGATTTGACATTTTTGTATATCCAAGTCGAGCAGTCGAGGCGTCGCCAGGCCTGCTCTGAATGCTTGGCATGTGGCGGTTGCGCGAGACTTGCCTCTTGACCTGCTGTGACAGGCGCAAGGAGCGAGAAAACTGCGGGTCAAGGCGGCAACAGGTCTGCCGATTGTGCGCCCTACGGCCTGACCACGTCCTGCCCCCGTGCTGTTCCCTGGGCGGTGGAACACTGCACAAATTCCAAGCCTCTTGCCCGGGACAAATCTCAATTTGATCCCTTGTCCCAAGAAAAGTCATACGCAGAGCTGTTGCTATGTTTTCTTGGTGTTCATGTCCTCATCCAGCAATCAAATCTCATTGGTGACGCTGTCATACGTACACCGTCCACCACGAAACCTGAGCCAACGTCACGTGGAGCTTCTTTTCGGGGTTGCCCGGCAGCTCTGGGCCATGACACACAGAGTGTGGTGAAGCAATCACGCCTTATTTACATCATGACTTTTGCTCCGACTTGACCATCTCGCTGCTTAGACCTGTTCTATCTCGTCCATGCGTGCTCTGGCCCCGCATACTTCATGTTCCAGTCACTCCGCGGGCGGGTCCTCAAGCCCCGGGCAGAGGTCCGAGAGACAACGTTCATCCGTGTTCTGACATACTGGGCATCTTCTTGTTCCAGGGTCTGTGCCTTTTTTCCGTTGCTGCAAGGCTTGGGTACAAGACCGGAATTCCTGCGGCAGCGCTGGGCGCGTCCTTGGCTAAGTAATGGAAGATCTGTCAGAGGCCGGTGATTGCCGATCTCGAACTCGTCCACCACAACTAATGAAAGGGAGTACACGCCCAGATGTCCGAGCGGTCTCGTCTTGGAGCAGGCCGACGAATGGTGGGCAGTCCGTAATGTCCCAGTCACCTCTTGGAGAAAGCTTGTCGAGGTCCTGTTGCACATCGTGTCATAATCCGCAAAAGTTATATCCCTCAGGAGCACTAGTACTGGCATGGCAATATATTGGCGCCAGTCGAATACTTACACATGGGGCTCGCACGCTGGGCTCCCCATGCAGGCGGAACTGTCGGACTTCTCAAGACTCGTCCTTATGTGAATGCATGAACAGTACAACATCCCACCAAACCTGCCGTTGAGTTATACCTACTCTGCTGAGGACCTTGCGACCCAGCACTGCTTGCTAGTCGTCTTTGTGTATGCCCATTACGATGATAGCCTGTACCTTGGCTCTGGAGTTCCAATCACTTTTGATGCTGTCGAGCAGCTTCTTAACCCGAGGACAGCGCCAGGAGCGTGGCATTGGGGTGCCATTATGCCGCTTGCACCGACTACTGCCGATAGGGAGACCGGCACGCGAACATCATTGGTACTTATATCTCCCATCTTGTTGATGTCATTGTGATGATGTCCTGGTCGTGCGGGCCAGTTGGCTGATGCCCATTCACCCACCACTGTTACGCATTGCATCAAACCCCATAATTCAAAGGAAATGCTTCTAGGAGGTCTGTCCTCATGTGCCTCGTACACTTTAGCTCAATGGTAAAGACAGCACTGCCCTCCAGTCGGCAGGGCGTCAAGACGTGGTTAGAATCGACCGACAATCATAGCCTGGTTTTGCGAGGACATCTGGGTTCGGTCTTCAGCTTAGGACTGTGCTTCTATAGAGAATGCAGGATGTATCGAACCCTAGCGCACGGAAACTCTCGGAAACAACCGGGCTTACGCTCATATGAAGATCTGAGAGTACGGGGTACATAGCAGACTCGTAACATGACGGAAAAGGGCAATGCGTGGGAAGAGGGCTAGTGAACTGGTAGACGATCCCGACAATAGCTTTGCTTCGACATACCTGGCTCGCGAAAGGTCCGAGAATCTTCCACTGACAAATTTGGATTTCTGCGCCTGCAGAGCGCCCGCCGGCCGCCGGCCGCAGATCACTGTCACGGATTCGTGGCAGTAGTATCGTCAAAGCTGACCGAGAGTGCTGGTGACCATTACTGGTCGTGAGTCTCGCATGCGATACCGAGCGCGACGGAGCCATGATATCTTCGAATGCCATCAGGACAGTACCGACCTATGTAGGCAACACGGATTCTTCGGGGTCTCGAGCCCAAACTGCTGCTGTCGATATGCTCGCCAAGACCGACCAGCGAGCTTTTGGGCGGACCACGATGTTTCAAGCCCAGCATTGTACCACATATCCAGACTTACCGCGCATGAGGTCGATGTTTGGTAATATGCGGTCTTCCTTCAACCTCTCGTGCAACAACGGGCTAGAACCCAGGTCGGTGCTGGTACGACTGTCGCTTCCCGCAGCTCCCTGCCACTGTGGTTGAACATCCCGAGCTCCGAATAGAAGAGTCAAGACCATTATGCAGTCCCCCAGGAGCGCGACGCAGATATCGTCGCAATACTTGTGTTCTCTTATGCGAACGATCGAGTACGCGTCTCCAGTGTGGTGAACTGGAGCCAAAAAAGCTCGCTTGAGCACCACTCCCAGCAAACAAGCGGAGCGAGCATCCGAGTTGACATTCTTCTGTGGCACGTCAAACCATGTCCGCGTGGGTAGCACAGGGGTTGACGTTGTGTCACGGGCTTTCGATAAAACGGTACGAGGTCCTCTGCCACAGGACATATTGCCATGGTATGTACTCGTGTAGCGTCGGCCTCCTCGACAAATTCGAGAGTACCAAGCACTTCCCTGCTTCGCGGTTCGCCAGTCGTCTGCTTGACGAACCAACCTTGCCCAAGTGGTGCCTACTGTCTGCTTGGGTGATTGTGAAGGTAAAGTTTAGAGGCTTGGTCAACCTTTTATCAGGCTGATGTGATTTTCAAGCGCATCGGACAGAAAGGCTTTCTTGTTGTCACACGCTGGCTGCGTCCTTAGGCACCAACACGGCTGTCTCGGTAAACCATGTTAGGTGCTGGGGGTCGTCACAGGTTGGGCGGCTCCCGGAGTGGACGTGATGAGCTGCAGGAGACACGCGAAGAGCGGGAAGCTAACTAAAAGCACAAGCCTGCTCCGTGTGATAGGCGCTCCAAGCCCATTTTTCTCCCTGTATTCTCCGGGGCCCGCAAGATCCTGGCGATGCCCCCAACCTTACGAGCTACGACCTGGCTACGAGTACGAGGTACCCAGTCCTCGTACGAGTAGCCTGGTGAGCCACAACGCCAGGCGTCTGACTTGCGCCAGTTTCTGGCCCCGTTAGACGGAAATAGAATAGCTGCAGAGGCACGAGAGGCTGGAACCCGGCGAGGTCAAACCGAGGCTCTCCTTTCCCCGACTGCTACAAGACCTGGGAAATGACTGTGAATGTTGGCCTCGTGGGTTTACACTAACTTCCGCTCATTGTCGCGCACTTGTCTCCGTAACATTAGTCGTGCAGCTCAGCAAGACTTTCTTCAGATTCGCTGCATGTACAGGGTATGAAACCACAAGTTTCATCCTAGGGAGCCAAACACGCGGGTCAGGTGCGGCTGGCGGCGAGAGTTGACGAGCACTGGCGCGGTTGGCTGGCACGTTTGATTCCTTTCCGGAGGCTCGACGCGGTGGTGGCTTGACCCTAATTCTCGAAATTGGCCAAGATTGGCCGGCGAGTGGGTTGGACTCTGGAAGGAGAACACGAGCTAAGCCCGCAAGGCGACTGGGTGTGGAGAAACGGACCCAGACGGAGTGATGAATCCTGGAGGAGTTGAGCGGCGAGGGCGAAGCGAAGGAGGGGAGAGCGCCGGAGTGGCAGCCTACGAAGCTTAGAGCCATGCGTGCAGGAGGTACCTGCCGCCTGTTGGTGGCCGCCTAACCGTAAAACGGACCACGGCAGAACGATCACCTGAAAGCCCCAGCCAGGGGGCCCCTGGCTATGACGGAGCCAAATTACCTGTTCGTCCTGTTCGTCATATGCCGTGGCTCCCAACCAGAAGCCTGACCACACGCATCAACTGGGGGAGTCCCTGGACTCGTCAACTGTGTTTCTGGTTAGACTGCCTGTAGCGAGACGACTCCAGTCAGCCACCCAACTACCGGGTACAAATTTTCCTTGGCCGTCGTGTGGGAGCTGTGCTGGTCAAGGGAAATCGCCGGCAGGTCTCGGTGATCAGGTTGGACGATCTGGTGGTTGCAGTAATTACTGTGGACTTACGAGGTAGATTGATGTTAGAGCACAGGGGGAGAGTTTAGCAGCACGTTTTATTCGCCCGCCACACATAATACTGTGTAAATCTGGCGGGCTTCGAAAGTCCTGGGAGAAAAGCCAGCTGTCATTCGCAGGCGGGGCCTCCTCCCCAGGCGTTTCCTCTCCTCTGTTGACTCTAACTCGTACCTCAACTGTCAACCAGGTCACGTCAAACATGTCCTTCTGCCTAATGCCAACTCGTATGAAAGGTGCGAAGCGCCACCCCACTCGAGGTCGTGCGCCACTCCAGCTCTTTTCTTCTGGTACCGCACAAGGTCCTGGGTCTTAGTAAGGAAGCCTTTTTGGCAGCCCAGGTGGCAGGCATGGGCGGAGCTTTTAAGTGTCAGACGGGTGAAGACCCACCACCACCCTGGGCCCGCGCACGCGCTATCGGCTCCCTTATCCTTGATCGCCCAGCGTCCTTCCATTCCGTTGGACCAGCAAGCGTAGCAGCTCCACTCTGTGATGCTTCATCTCGACGCCCAAGGAACCATGGATGCCATCGAAAGCCCATGCCTTTTTGATCCGAGCACTATCTGGTCCCACCCGGGGCCACACCAATCAGCCATGTATCCACCGCATTCTCCACCGCTCCTCTTCTTCCCGTTGCTATTTGCTGCAAACCCCAACTGCTAGAACGAAGAGCCCGTGCGCCGCAGCACCACTGATGGCAACTTGGTGTGCCCGGCTCTCCTCCTTGCACGCCCGACAAATGATCCAGCATGAGATCCAACCCTACCTCTAGCGCAGCGGCCCGTAACATTGCTTTGGAAGGAAGCCCTCTTTCCTCTTTCCTGTCTTTCCCACCGTCATCCTCCACCGGCCTCTCTTCTCACGGTCGCCTCACGCAGTCACCGTTCTCTTGCTACCTTCCAACCCCTGTTGATTCTTGATCACATCGGTGTCTTATACATTGCCATTGCCTTTCCCTTTGTCAAAGACGTACTGATACCATTTTCGCTCTGTGCCTTGTTACCCTTCCGACCGACCACGCGAGGGCCCGTCTAGCAAGCGAGCTTCTCTAGACCTCACCACCCACCTCCCAACCCTGCTTGGTTACATGGTCGATTGGCTTCCTCATTGTTGTCATACACAGGTGCGCCATTGAAAGAGGAGGTGCATCGACCGACTTTCTGCACTGCCGAAAGATTGATCAGTTTTATACCGAGGTTGCGTCTACTCAGAAAGCGCTGTCTCCCCTGATCGCGGTTGTCTGCCCAGTCTACCTGCAGAGTCACATACTTGATCAGACATGGCTTTGGTGCCGCATCCATCTCCTCCTGGCGTCCTCGGTATGCAACCAGGAGGTCATTTTGGCCCCATCAATGGAGCTGCACCCGTCGATGCTCATATGCAACGCCAACGCCTTCTGGCACAATTGAACGAGTCCACCTGGCAAAGAATAGGTATGTGTCACGTTGTTGTCCAGCTCTACCATCACCTGCTGACCCGGATGATGATAGGTTCGTTGAACGAGCTGCTCGGTGACCACGAAGGGGCACTGTTTGCGTATGAACAAGCTTTGCGACACAACCAATGGTCAACCCAAACCTTGAATGCAATCTCATGCATCCTCCGCACAAAGGAGAAGTATCCCGAGGCTATGGAGTACCTCAAAAACATCTTGAAAGTAGAGCCCGCCAATGGCGAAGCCTGGGGAAATTTAGGTAAGAGCAACTCGTCTGCTTCTGTTGAATGTCAGCTTACAGCATCAGGCCACTGCTACCTGATGATGGACAACCTTCAAGAGGCGTACACCGCCTATCAGCAAGCTCTGTATTACCTCGCAAAGCCAAACGTAAGCTGTCACCCCCCACCCAGCCACTGCATCGCGTAACATCTTGTAGGAACCCAAGTTGTGGTACGGTATCGGGATCCTGTATGACCGATATGGCTCCTTGGAACATGCCGAAGAAGCTTTCTCTCAGGTCATGCGTATGCAACCGGACTTTGAGAAGGCGAATGAAATCTATTTCAGACTAGGAATCATATACAAGCAGCAACAAAAATTCCAGGAAAGTCTTGAAGTAAGTACATGTCCTTCTTGCGATGGCTGCGACTGACATTGTCGCAGTGCTTCAAGTACATCGTCAACAACCCGCCACGCCCACTCAATGAAGAAGACATCTGGTTCCAGATTGGTCACGTTTATGAGCAGCAGAAAGATGTAAGTTTCGCCCATCCTCAAACAATGGACTCGATTAACCTTGTTCAAGTTCGAAGCCGCAAAAGCTGCGTACAGGCGGGTTCTGGAGAGAGATCCGAAACACGCCAAAGTGCTACAGCAGCTCGGCTGGTTGCATCACCAACAAAGTAACAGCTACGCAAGCCAAGACCAGGCCATCGAGTATCTCGAACAATCGGTCAGCTCTGGTATGTATCACTACAGACTTTGCTGATTTGACAAGCTGACCGCCTCGAAGACAACCAAGACGCCCAGAGCTGGTACCTTCTCGGCAGGTGCTATATGGCACAGCAGAAGTTTCCCAAGGCCTATGAAGCTTATCAGCAAGCTGTGTATCGCGATGGGCGCAACCCCACATTCTGGTGCTCCATTGGCGTCTTGTACTACCAGATCAATCAGTACAGGGACGCCCTTGATGCATATTCGCGCGCCATCCGATTGAACCCATACATTTCCGAAGTATGGTACGATCTTGGAACCTTGGTGAGTATTCCTGATGCCTTCGCTCTCACTGCAGTCACTAACGCTGAATAGTACGAATCATGCAACAACCAAACCTCTGATGCTCTTGATGCATATGCTAGAGCCGCTGAGCTTGACCCCACCAATACCCACATCAAGGCGCGTCTGGCCCTTCTGAGAAGCGGAGCTGCAACTGGGCCTAACCAGCATAATGCACCCGTACCTCAGGATGTCCATCCCCAAGCGTATCAGAACGGTGTTGGTGTTCCTCCTGGACCCCAATGGGGCGGACCATCTGCGTCAAATCAGCAAGCACAGCCGCCGCCGGTTGACCCAGCACGTGTCAACGATTGGGCGAGAGGCATTGCAGGTATCAACCCACCTCCTGGCCAGCAGCAACAACAGCCGCAAAATGGGTACGAAAGTCGTGACGGTATGAGGGCACCGCCACCCCGTGCCCCTAGCCCGCGTCAGGATGGGCCCCGCCCATACGATTCATCCAGACAAACACCCGTGCGCAAGATGCAGTCACCATCTCCTAAGTTGCAGCATTCTAACCCAGGCATGTTCCCCCCCGGTCCTCAAACGCTGCCACAAATCTCAATGCAAGAGCGTCCTCCCGCTTTTGGCAGTGGCGTCCGGCCGTCGCCCACAATGAACGGGCCGCCAGCACCGCATGCTAATAGCGCTGGGTCTGGCTCAACCCTACCGCCATATGGACGACCTTTCAGTCCTCCCAGTGAACTCAGACCTCTTCGAGACGAACGTCCCCAGTCGCCTGGACCAGGTTTCCGCCCGCCGCCATTCCAATCTGGCCAACAATTTCCCAGCATCGCTAACGGCGTGCCCTCTGCTCCACCCCCTCTCCCCGCTGTAGAAGGTCCTCCTCGCGATGAGAGACCCCCCTCAGCTATGAAGCGGGCTCGTGAGTGGGAAGCCGATTCTGGTCCCTCTAAGAAGCTGGCCAATGAAGAAAGCCGTGCACGCCTAGACGACCCCATCCGCAGGAACAGTCCTCCAGGTCGTCTGCCTACACCCAAAGATCATTTTAGGCGCAGCTCATCCGAAGCCCGCCGCGAACAGGAACGACGGGCGAATGAGAACTACTATCCCTCTGAAGCTGCACACCACCCTTATAGTCGACCTCCTCAGCACATTCCATCGATGCAGTCAATCTTAGACGGTCCCAAGGACGAACGCCAGGAACATGTTGAGCAAGCAGCTCGCAAAGTGGACGTAGACGAGGACTACGATAACAACAGCGATGATGACAAACAGCGGGGACCGCCTCCAGCAGCCGTAAGTCCTCAAGTAGGTGGACCACTTCCTTCGGCGACGCCAAAGCAGGAGCAAGTGGCATGATTTGTTAGATATTTGGTTCTGCCTTGAGTTATCACACACAATTCCCTTCGCATTCTTGGGTTGGAGACCTTGTATAGCACACGCATTCAGCGATCGCTATCCTTACAACGGGCCACCAGGACGTTACTGCGTCGCCCTGTAAATGGAATGTAGCTTTACACAATAAGACGAATATGACGAGCATCCTGAAAACCACTCGTCATACGATTCTTCTCCAGTAGGGCTGGCTCGAGGATGGTTTCTTTATAAACCAATGCGAAAATCTTGGCATAACTAGCGGGCCCCACCGCACCAAACTTCGAAATCAAACTCCGCAACGTACCTCCAAATGTCTGCAACAACTCGACAACTTGACAATTTGAGACACCTCGTCCATTGCTGAACAAGATGTAAGAGATGGTTGGATTTCTTTTCACGGCTTTGCTAACAAATGACTCAGGTCTCACCGAAAGTTCGAGGCGCCGCGACACGGTATACCGTCACCTCATCTAAATTTCCCTTGCTGATGATGAGGATCGTGGACTGACGATTTTTCTTCATCAGGTTCGCTTGCCTTCCTTCCCCGAAAGAGAGCTGCAAGACACAGAGGCAAGGTCAAGAGGTACGGTTGAAATACACTGGTTATCTAGAAGTCATGACTTGCAAAGAGTCGAAGCTGAAACAATCCCAGCTTTCCAAAGGATGACCCCAAGAAACCAGTCCATCTTACCGCCGCCATGGGATACAAGGCCGGGATGACGACCATCGTCCGTGACCTTGATAGACCTGGTGCGAAGATGCACAAGAAAGAGATCGTCGAGGCTGTCACTGTCATTGAGACTCCTCCTGTAAGTCACCATTCCCGGCATAGAATCTGTCGGAGCATCTGTTTTTGTACGCAGGCTGACTTTCTACGAGATGATCGTCGTCGGCCTCGTCGGCTACATCGAGACCCCCCGCGGCCTTCGATCCCTCACCACTGTCTGGGCCGAACACTTGTCAGACGAACTCAAGCGCCGCTTCTACAAGAACTGGTACCGGTCGAAGAAGAAGGCTTTCACAAAGTATGCCAAGACACATTCAGAGGGCAAGGGCAGCTCTGTCACCCGTGAACTCGAGCGCATCAAGAAGTACTGCACCGTCGTCCGTGTCCTTGCGCACACCCAGATCCGTCAGACTCCTCTCAAGCAGAAGAAGGCGCACTTGATGGAGATCCAGATCAACGGTGGTTCCGTAGCAGACAAGGTCGAATTCGGCCACGGTCTCTTCGAGAAGCCCGTCGAGATTGACACCATCTTCGAGCAGGATGAGATGGTCGACTGCATTGCCGTCACCAAGGGTCATGGTTTCCAGGGTGTCACATCAAGATGGGGTACCAAGAAGCTTCCGAGAAAGACACACAAAGGTCTCAGAAAGGTCGCTTGTATCGGTGCTTGGCATCCTTCGCACGTCCAGTGGACCGTTGCTCGTGCTGGTCAGATGGGTTACCATCATCGTACCAGTGTCAACCACAAGGTCTACCGCATAGGAAAGGGCAAGGATGAGAAGAATGCCGCTACTGATTTCGATGTTGTCCAGAAGACCATCACACCGTACGTATACATCCTTTTCTTTGGAGGTCCCACAACCATACTAATAATCCTGCAGAATGGGGGGCTTTGTCCACTACGGCGAGGTCAAAAACGACTTCGTCCTCCTCAAGGGCTCCGTTCCAGGTGTGAAGAAGCGAGTTATGACTCTCCGCAAGTCGATGTTCCCTCACACTTCACGCAAGGCCTTGGAGAAGGTCGAGCTCAAATGGATCGACACCTCGTCCAAGTTCGGCCACGGTGCCTACCAGACTCCTCAGGAGAAGAGACAGTTCCTGGGTACGCTCAAGAAGGATCTCGTTGCTGCTTCGTAACTGCGATCAAAGTGGCAAGGGGAGTTGTGAATTTTCAGTACTTGCATGTAAATGTCTCGCCAGAGACCAGGGACATGGTCTTGTCACGCCCTCGTCAACGGAGGTCGAGCACCGTCACCGCAAGATACCAACGACGTTTCTTGCTGTTGTCTTTTGTGCAGGCTAGTTAGCATGACAAGGGGCAGTCGGGCAATTAGTATGGTGGAATGAGAATGAAGAATACCACGAAGTCCATCTTTCGCCTTCCATTTGTATTGGTGTATGGTATTCTGTGACTTGTGTGGACGAATTGCCGTGTCCTCGAGGCTGCCTTTCGTCGGCAGCAGCAGCAGCCTCATTCGCCAATCCAATGCTCGTGTCATAACGCGGAAGGGAAGTCTGAGTCTCGATCCTCCATCTTCTCGTTGGAATAACTTCCTGACGGCGGAGTACGTAATTTGAGCTAGGGTATTATTGAATATCCGGAGTCTATGTAAAAACAAATCAGCCATCTGAACCGAGCCATATCCCTGCCTCGGTCTCGCGGTCGGTGTATTTGAGGTTCTCATTACAGGGCACCTTTCACATACATGCGAGCAAAGCCACGCCCTGGTATGGCACTGGCTGATACAAGTTGAATGCCCTCAAATCGGATAGTATATTATTGAGCATGGGGTCAATCTTCGACTCAAACAGATGCTGGACACCCATCCCTACCAGGGCCAAGCTGCCAGGAAGGACATCAACTGGACCAGGAAAGACCACATCCCCACAACAGAGTTGTCCAAGATTGTCTGTGACGAGGCTTCAGCACAAGGAAACCCGTAGGCCTTGAATTCAGCCAAGAATAGCTCCAGCCTCAAGAAGAGCCTGCACTCCATTTCCGACCCGAGCACGCTTTATAGTGCGCCATTGGTATACGCTTCCTGACCTCTTTATGTCTCAACAATCATGGAGAGTCGGATTGATTAGGGTAGCGGCGTCAAAGGCTGGTGGTCGCAGGTAATCCTACTACAATCGATGGTTCGTCATCCCACTGCAGCCGTGGAAACACCTGGACTTGACCTCTTTGACGACAAGCAGTTCTTCTAAGTCCACGGGCTTGTCCACCGATGCGAGTAGCTCACCCGTCGAACCGCGACGCGCAGGAGGCAGCAGCATCACCGTCACCAGCGTAAGTCGGTCACTGAAAAAATCCTCCTTTACTCATCATACCATGTCCCATTGTCTCCATACGTCACCTGTTATCGTTTCTCTGCCGCAGCCCCTAGTTCTCCCTCGTACCTACCTTCCCATGCTGATAGACTCCTTTCCTGCGACAGCGGCACATCCTGCATCGAAGGAACGGATTCTTACACGCCCTCTAGGGCCTTGCACGCCTGTGACTTCCACTCCAATACCTCGCGGTGAAGGCCACATCCGCGCCATTGTCGGCTCCGTCAAGCCCATAAGACCTGCAGTTGTAAATCAGAACGCACAATCGGGGTCAAGGTAGTTTCCACCTTTTGCGAGGTTCCGGATCTACCCCAGGGGGATGGTCGGTATGGCTCCGATTCAAGCGCAACCATTACACCATGACCGCTGGTACAAATCCCTCGACAATGTCTGCTATATTACTGCAGCTCCGTACCCCAACGCAGCAATAACTGTTCTCCATTTTCGATATGAATGTCTGTGGCAGCGCATTGTGTTGGTGCAGTCTGGATGAAGCCGGGGGGGGAGTGCAAGTGCGAGGAGATTGGAGGGATGATGAAGTTAAAGCGGCCAGTCTTGTTTTGCAGCACGTGCGCCCGGGACGGATTCTTCTTGTGTTCCGACACCAAGACAACTATTGATGACGTCATTCTAGAGATATCAAGTCACACCTTGGGCTGGAACTGCACCTGGTGGTACACGCCTTCACATGGTCGTAACCAAGGTTTGTAGACTTTCACATCAGTCAAGCATAGCTCGACCGCCTGCCCTCAAGAGCGGAATAGCTGAAACATCAAGTCGCCATCCGAGGCAACTAGTGAAGTGCATGAAAACTTCGAGAGATCTTCTGCCGTTGCCGTTACAGCCCAGAGGCGGCCGAGTTCAAAGCCTCCATTCACCCTTCACGCTCAGCTCTAGAACAACCACCGGCGTCGCTCATTATACAAGCCACACCATGTCCGACGACGCATCGTACATGTCCTTCCTCAACAAGGCGAATGCCGACCCTAAATCTGGCCAGGGCTCAACAATGGCCGAATCCGAATCGACCTCACAACGCCGCTCGTCGTTTGATCCTACCTCATCCTCATCCTCAGACGCCCTTCCAGCGACACTGAAGTCCCTGCCCGATATAACATATACGTCGGATACCGATTCACCGTTTGAGCCCGTGCTATTCAATTACTCGGGGTCAGGGTTGCCTTCTGCAAGCGAGTTTAATACGGTCCTGAGACATGCGCACAAGGGAAAGGGGGTTGTAGAGGTAGAAGAGTTAAGTGTGGGTGATTTCGATCCCAGAGGCGAGTACAAGGAGATCATTCAGAGGGTCGAGCAAGCGGGAAAGGCAAAGAAGGGTGTCCAGGTATTCAGAGTACAGGCGAGCTCGACGAGGGTGGAATACTATATTTTGACTGTGGGCGAAAGGAACTTGATCGGAGTGGTGACGAGGGCAGTTGAGAGCTAGAGACCGGAAGCCCTGAGAGCGCAAGCAATGACGCTGGAGCAGCAGTCACCATCGACTGTCGACTGCCCGGAGAATGCCAAGCAAACAGCTGGTAATGCATCAGGCAGGAAGGAAGCGAGTCTTGATTCGCGCACGGAGCAGTTGTTCTTTCCAAATGCAGCTTGACTCGTCACCGTACGAGGATCCAAGGGTTGGCATTGCGGCTCATTTCATTACCTGCGTCCTGGGCGCGGGTGATGCGGTCGCACTAGCCACGGTAATCAGCACAAGCAAAACACAGATGGCCTCGCTCTCGAAAGCAACTTCCGCCGAACGTGTAGAATTCACCGTCGTGACCCCGGACCTTGATTTACTACCTGGACGTGGCAGCAGAAGCGTTTAACATGTGGTGCCCACTCCTCAGTTGGGGCATTGAACGCCTTCGAAGACGTTGAGGACGTGCATCAGCACCCGCACGCTGGGCGATTTCCACAACCAGAA